CTGGCGCCTTAGCCACTTGAGCCACAGGCGCTGAGCCATAGTCACCTTTTAAATTAAAGTATGAGGCATTAATTAAAGTAGGAGGCATTTTCTCTTTCAGTTTCAAAGTTTTCTTGTTCCTGTTTAAGTATGAAATTAGCTGAAACTTTGACATACTGAGAGATAATAGATATGACATAGTATAAAATTTATATACTAGTTAACTAGAAAAATTCACACAAAATAAGTGAAGCAAAAATCACATTAAAAGGTATTTTATAATCTTCACTATGACACTGTGCCCTGTGAAACTTTTATTTTTGTTTAATACTAGTTTAAAGTACTTTTTGAAAACTTCCTTGCTGTTCTTCTAAACTATTTAAATTAGTATAATCCTTTTCTGGAAGAAATAAGCTACTCTTTTATCTTGCAGACTGTTAATAATTAAAAAAAAATTTATACACGATTCTTTAAAGCTAAAATACAGTACTAAGATTTTTTTTTCTACTGCCACAGAACGTTCTTTTCTTAAATGTGACTGTGCCACCTAGAGGCAGCAATGTGAAATGTATCTGAAATTGTTGACAAAATTTATAAAGTTAGTATGTGGGAGTTAGAGTTAATGAAATTATACCCACTCTTAAGTTGTGTCTACCATAGAAAACTGTCTTTTAAAAACTATAGATCAAGATCTTTTTTTGTTATGCTAAATGTTTTTGAATAAGTAAAATCTTAATTTTTCTTGAATACCATCTAAATAGATCATTTTATGCAGCAAGTTTGAATTCTAATCTTGGGATACAGTCCATAACAACTTTTTTGGTCTGGTTTTAAAAGAATTTTGTATTAAAAAGTAAATAGGCATTAAGAATATATTTGTTCCCAAGTCTGGAATAGATGCCCTAGTTTGGTTCCATATGCATCCTGCTATAATCAGATACGAGGAAGCTGGAGAGAAAAGGTAAGCCGAGATTAGGTGTGCGTGAATGATATGATGAGAACTAGTCACTTGGAAGAGAAGAGTTACAAAAACTGATGTCGATAGGAAAAAACAAACACAGCTGAATAGAAAGTCAGGTAATAACTAGGTTCATGCTATGTAGTACTTATTTTAATCAGTAGTCATGAAGATATGCTAATGGCTGTACCTTGATTATCTTTTATGATTACATGCACCTAGAAATATGAAAGTTAAGACCACTCATTTGTTATTCTTTTTCTAATAATGTTTTAAATTTGTGTATGTAAAACATCCTGAATGAAAGCAAACTTCAGTTTTATTTGCTCTGTAATTGAACGTGAATGCTAGCAGTGTTTTTGTGTCAGTGGTCTCTAGATAGGTACTATCTTCATATGGGTCAAGGGTTTTGATTATTTCCGCATGTTAACATTCAGTGTAAACTTGAACTCCCATCACCATCATGGGTAACTACCGTCAGTGTCGTGCAATATTTGGGGAACCTTTTGCGCCTATTGAAACAAAATGAATATTTAGTCTTGTTTTCTCCCATTGTTTACACAGAGGTTGCAAACTACATAGGTTGTTCTCAACCACTTTTTATGGTGGAACATTGTAAACTAGGACGACGATGACTATGCTGATATATTTGAAAGAAGATGATGGTGATGGTGGTGTCTAATGTTTGTAATGTTTATATGTCACTGATGTCATCATACCCATTCATTTATTTTCTGGTGCAGTTAGCATCTGTGGAGAACTGTATTTTTCACTTGCTAGCGTAGTTACTTTACTAAGCTTTGTTTATATAGAAGGGTAACTAAGAGCACTGTTTGGTGATGGGTGGTAGTTGTGTAAGTTCTAGAAGGCAGAGACTTTTTCCATTTACTTTTCCTGTAAACAGGTGACTTGTGGTACCGTTTTTGTACTATGTGTCTGGTTATAATGTATTATCACAGCGCCTGCATTTGTTTAATACTTTAGTTGTAAATAAGCTGATTCAGATTTCTCTTTTCTCTTTCTCATTGCTGGTCTTTTATTTGTTCATTATTCTAATATCCTATAATTGTGAATTGTCTTCAATAGTTTTATATTCTTCTATATTTCCCAATCTAACCAGCTCCAGGGGTATTTTTTTTTTCTTTTTAAGATAGAGAAGTGAGGAATGGATTTACAAGTTTTAAACAGTTATATTTTAAATGGCTAATTACCTGCATGATAGTCTCAAGTTGCCTCTTGGCCCGCAGAGTCAAAAATATTTATTATCTGGTCCTTTATATAATTTTGTAGGCCAGTTTTTCAACAGGGGTTCTCTTTGCATATAGTGAGGTCAAAAAATGTCCCTGTAGGATTAATGAGTAAAATATATAAGGAACTAAAACAAGTTAACATCAGAAAAACAAATAATTTGATTTTAAAAAATGGGCACATGGGATGGCCCCTGTGGCTCAAAGGAGGAAGGTACCAGCCCCATATGCCAAAGGTGGTGGGTTCAAACCCAGTCTTGGCCAAAATCTGCAAAAAAGAAAATGGGCAAATGATCTGAATAGACATTTCTCAAAAGAAGATACACAGCCAACACATACATGAAAACATGTCCCACATCACACTAATCATCAGGAAAATGCAAATCAAATTACAGTGAAGTAACATCTCACCCCAGTTAAAATGGGCTAGTGTCAAAAAGACAAAGAAATGACAGATGATGGTGAGGTTACAGAAAAGGGGGACATTTCCAGTTGAAATTCAGTATTTTGTATTCTATGTCCAGCTTCTCGTTCACTGTGATTTTTGTCAGATTTGTGTCATTAACTATTCAACGTTGGTTCAAGTGTCCTGATATGGTCTTTTTAGATCTACAGTTACATATTGTCAACTTCCAGTTCTTCCCTGGGAAGCTTGCCCCTTCCCTCCCTGCTCTGTGAGGCTAGCCTCCATTTCCATGTCTGCTCATCACCCATTCACTTCTTTTCTCCATTTAGCTTTTCTTGCTTGAGATCAATTGAGGGTTTCTTGATTAGAGATACATTCACTATGGACTTCCTTGATTAGAGATACATTCACTATGGACTCCTTCCATGTCCAACTGTCTCTTTTTAGCTTCTCTAAGAGCCAGTGCAGAAAGAATTTAATGAAGGGACCTGGTGAACCTATAGATTCTCACATCCAGTTTTCTGACATGGTGGCCCCAGTGGAGGGGTCTTCCCTGCCTGCTCTGTTCCTTTATGAGGGGGGTAATACTAAGATGTCCATTGTTTTAGAGAGGCAGTTCTGCCTTGTGTTTGAGAGCATAGACACCACAGCCAAGCTCCCTTTCACCTAGCTCTCATGCACGTAACTTCTCTGTGCCTCCATTTTTCAAGCTTTAAAATGGGCTCATATAATTAATTTATATAAAGTGCTGCACAAAGTCAATGCCTAGATTATGGTAAATGCTCTATAAGTGAATTTGTTGTTATTGTTTATTGATTTATAAGCTCTTATAGGACTCTTCTTTTTTGCTGTCGTAACTGTCCTGGGCTTATCTTCATCACACATATTATTTTCATCTGAGTATACATCTCTTCTCTCCTGGGAGCTCTTCAAGGGCAGGAACCATGTCTTACCAGTAACGTCTCCAGTGTTCCATTGGCATTTGTGGGACTAAAGTTTAACTTGACTATCGATGGTTAGAGGGATCTGTTCAGGCTTGGCAGATGGTGAGAAGTTGCTCTCATTGTGACTCAGCAGCTGGTGAACACACAGAGTGGTAAGTGAGCTGAGAGAACATGAAAGAAGGATGAGGTCCGTGGTGGCCGGTCCCACGTGGGCTGCCGTTCTCTGTGCATTCCCTTCATAGGGTCGTCAGTGCTCCGCGTTATGAAGTCGATGGTCTGGTGTAGACGAGGGTTATGCCTAAGCAGGTAATGCAGCTGAAGTTAGGAAAGCCAAGTAATGTGTCAGGAAAGTAGCATGACACATTAATTCTTGAACTGAAGAGACATATGGGCCAGAGTTTGGGTTTATCAATGCATTTTATCACTCAAAAAAGTCTCAGTGGTTAAATGTCCAGACAAGTGCTGTTAGATGAATTCTCTCTTTTCCCCTCAGGATTTGACAGGATCTGAACTCTACACCCAGGCGGCCAGTCTCTTGCACCCTGTGGTTTACACCACTGCCATCATCCTCCTCTTATGTCTACTAGCCGTTGTCGTCAGTTACATATACCATCACAGGTAAGAGGTCAGCCTTGACAGCGGATCTGTGACTTGATTGGAGGAGTTCATTTCACATTCTAGTGGGATAAAACTGAGTTTGAGAATCCTCAAAGTTCTCAAATTAGATCTCCCATTTGACCCTACAGTCCTACTATTAGGCATCTACCCAGGAGGGAAAAGAAAAAAAAATTATCAGAAGGACATTTGCACTAGATTGTTTATTGCAGCTCAATTTATAAGCTCCACAGTGTGGAAACAACCTAAATGCCCATCCGTTCAGGAATGGGTTAACACATTGTGGTACATGCATATCACGGAATACTATTCACCCATAAAAAAGATGGTGACTTCACATCTTTTGTAATATCCTGGATGGAGTTGAAACACGTTCTTCTTAGTAAAATATACAAGAATGAAAAACAATTATCCAATATCCTCAGTACTAATATGAAGCCAGTAGGCAACCTGATGTATGCCCATATAGATGAAAAACTCATTTCAATTCGAGTTTGGGGGAGGGGCAATGAAGGAGGGGGGGTTGGGATGCTCTCTCTGAATGGGCATGGGGTGGGGGGTATTTGACACACCTTTTGTGTGGGGGATGTAGCCACAAGTGGGCCTCTACCTAATAAAATCAAGTATTTTGACCTCCTTGTTTGTACTCCCACAGTCACCTGAAATAAATTTACTTTAAAAAAGTGAAAAACAAAAAACTGAGTTTGATAACATGCCTTCCTTCTAAAACAAGGATGGTTACCTTAGAATATATTTACAAGACTTCTTTATTTCATGCCATTAGAGACATACATAATTAGTATGTGCAATGGCAAGTTCATCTTTTATAGCATCTGTTTCGTTTGTTGTCTTTTTATGTATCTGAAAAAGAACATGAGAAATTTGTAGCGGAGCCTGGGGGGCAGGGTACGGCAGAGTGTGGGGTAAGGTGGAGGCCCCTTACCTGTGGAGTCACCTGTCCAGGTGTCTCCAGGTATCACAAGGTTGCGTTATTACTCTTACTTTATGATTTTTTTTAACCTGTTATGATTTTCTTTGTTTTATAGATGGCATTTTTAAAGAAAGGTTTTGGCATTTGTGCATGAGCTATAGTTTTTGTTAATTGGAGGCGAAGTTAAAGAAACAAACTATAAAATAACAAACTATAAAAGGATCTGCTAAGCAGAAATTCACTTTATAAAAGGTTTTGCTAGAATGTTTCCTGTTTAAGCTTGACATGTATGGCATTTCTTGACATTTAGAAAAGAAACAAAGGAGATTTTGATGTATAAAATAAAGAAAGACTTCAATATTTCATTAGGAAAGGCCAGGAAGAAATGCATTGGGTGATGAGACCCATGCTAGTGGGTCAGATTGAAGAAATCTCTAGGTAGCCAACCAGCTAATCCAGTCATCTTAAGACATCGTATGTAAAGATCTCTAGAAGAAGAATTGACAAGCATATTTCTTATTATAGAGAATCTGTTTAGCCTTTAGTGGTTCCATAAATGGCTGGTGGGTTTTGGTGCACAAAGTTAAATGTTAAGAAAGTTCTCTGTGTGTGTGTATCTGATAGTATATGTTGATTACACAAAATGTTTAAATATAAAGCATTTAAATTTGTTCTTTTATGCAGTTGGAATTAACTTGTAAATGAGCATCGTAATGTCCTGCTTCAGATGTGCTAGACTGAATATTAACATTTTCTTTTCTTTGGTGTTTTAACAGTTTGATCAGAATCAGTCTCAAGAGCTGGCACATGCTGGTGAACTTGTGCCTTCATGTTTTCCTGACTTGTGTGGTTTTCGTGGGAGGAATAACCCAGACCAGAAATGCCAGCGTCTGCCAAGCAGTAAGTCAGAGCGAAACATTAAAATGGAAAGAACTTAGGATTAGAAAATATTTTATATGTTTCATTAACTATCAGGGGAAGGATGTTTCTTGAAAGCCTTGTCTTTAAAGTTAAATCTGATGTCTTTCACTTAAACAATTCATCAGTATGCCTCAAATTTGCAATTCACATTTCACAACTGAATATACTTGTGTATAACTTAAACATTAGTCTTTTTATTATTGGTAGCTCAGTGTTATGTCTGTTATAATGCCTATTATTTAATTCAAAAAATTAATAAAATCCCAACTCTGAAAGAGAAGTGACATTTTGTGACAATGAGATAATAAGAATTTCTAGAAAAAGATTGAACTATAAGATGTAAAAATAGGAAACAGATTAGGTTTAGTAAATATGAAGAACTGAAATATATTCAAATGTTACTTTCAAATAAATTATGTCATACGTAGCTTTGGTGAACATTATTCTTACCGTATAAGTATAAAAAATTGAAACTCTCCAATATGTAGATAGGAAAAAACGTGTTTCCCCCAAATAAGACACTGTCTTATATGTATTTTTTTCTCAAGAAGACACAGGAGGGCTTATTTTAAGGGGATGTCTTATTTTTATTAAGTATAATACAACAATCTACATTTATTCAAATACAGTTAAGTTATCTTCCAGAACCTGACAGGGGGAGCCCACCTTGTAGGTGGGGCTGGTGCTAGTGATGCGTGAACTCCTTTCCCCTAGCCGTTCACATGTGCGCAATAGGATGCCTGTGACCGGGGTTACCACACGTGTACTGGCACAAGTGCCAACGGCTGGGAGAAAGGAGCTGTGGCAGATAAAAGGTATTCCAGTCTTCCTTACTGCTGTGCGCTGAAATGCAGGGCGTGGCTATAGCCACACCCATAGCCACGCCCATCACTAGGTCTTATTATTGGGGTAGGGTTTATATTTAACAAATGCATAGAAATCCTGCTAGGGCTTATTTTTTGGGTAGGTCTTATTTTCAGGGAAACATAGTATGTGAACTTTTATTTCTGTTTATGTCCTGTTTTCCATGTGCACGGTAACAAAGAGTGTAATACAATAACGAAGAGGTCAACTCCCTAAATTTGGATTTTAGTTCTGCCACTTACTAGGTCTTTTGATCGCAATTCATATTTTTCTTTTCAAATTGTTCATAGCATGAGAGCTATGCTCTTAACAAAATTTTCAGTGTACAGTACAAAGTCGTTAACTCTAAGTACAGGGTTACAAGCACATATCTAGAACTTTTCTTCTTGTAGGACTGAAACTCTGTACCCAGGGAACAGCAACTCCCCAAGTCTGACCAGTTTAGACGCCCCTGAGTACACAGCCATGCAGTATCTGTCCTTCTGTCTCTGACCGACTTCACATAATATCCTTGAAGTTCATCTTTGTTGTAAAATATGAGAGGCCAAATAGCAGAGAGCCATCCTGCTTTGATGGCTAACATTCTATTTTGTGCATATACCACATTTTCTTTATCTATTTGTTGCTTATGGGCACACAGGTGGTTTCTGCCTCTTGGCTATTCTGAGTACTGTGCAGTGACCGTGGGAGGGCAAATAGCTGAGGTCTTGATGTCAGGGTTTAATCTTTGTGCACCTCAGTTTTCTTACCTGTGGATTGGGAATGATAACTGAGCTGTTGTTAGATGTGATTGTCTATAGAAAGAAACTAATTTGCTCATATATAATTAGAAATAAGAGGAAAGTTCAGCAAGGACTGGCTCTTGACATGTGGACGTACGACTATGACAAAATAAAGTACCAGTTTTTAAAAGCAAAGCCTATCGGTGCCTAGAAATAATAAAAGCTGTCAAGATTTACAGGTTAAATTAAAATACGTGTTAAAGAAAACCTGAATAAGTGGAAAGGTACATGGGATCTAAGGATGGGAAGATATAATATCAGAATAGTGGCAGTTGCTCACCTGGGTGTGAGTATAACACAATCAAAAACCTGGAAGCACCCCATATGCCTGTCACCGAGAGTGTGAACACATAAACTACGGTATCCTACAAGAGTCAAAAACAGTGCATTATACAATAGAGAATGGCATTCATCCAGAGACCCTTTTTCTAAATTTGAAAATGACTAAAATTAAAATAAAGAGCATACTTTTAACAAAAATAAATAAAACTGTGTAAAAACGAAAGCCAGGGGCTGGTGAACATAGGCTATCGGGTGATGGTTACAGGAGGTTAGATACAGGTTATCCTCAAGGTCTTACCTTTCGTCTTGCTGGTAGATTCTTGGATGTTCTTTATATTATTAACAATAACAACATAACTAAGTAAAGCCTGGCTGCACTTGCCCCAGTCATTAGAATGTGTCATGATCCCGAGGCTTATAATTAATCCAGTATTATATACCTGAGATCCAAGTTTAAATGTGTGTTTGTATAAGAACGATTGGGAGAATTTAATGACTCAGGCTTCCCAAGAGTAACAAGTATATACTAACTGCTCCATAAATGTGGTCTGTTACTATTCTTCATACTGTTGATGAAATTATCTCTCTCTTAGGCTGTATAGTTCTGTTCTAGGCCACCACCGTACAGTTAGAAACAGAGTTTTGTTTGACTCCTACAAAAAGTCACGTGGTGGGTCTCGAATCCGCCACTCCCTTGTGCAGAGACAGAGCTTCTGGGTCCTCCGCCTTGCCCCCTCTCACCTGCTGACTCCCTCTTGCCTTGCAGGTCCCAGTGTGCTTCTGGTTTCCACCCCTCTCCTCCCACTGTTGCTCTGTGATCCGCAGTAAAGTTCCATAGTACCCATAAAACTTTATAGTTTCCTATTTATTATCTCTGGACTCTAAGCTCTCCTCGTATTCCACTTTTGGCAGGGGCAAGACTTCTATCAGTGGGAGGCACCAGTTTTTAGCCAGGGACCAGCATGGGTCTGACCCCCACAGTCGGTGCTGAGCAAATGTTTATCAGGGTGAAGGAATAGAAACAGGCATCTGTTTGCAGATAGCAGAAATCATGTGACCCCAGAGCCATCGGGAGCATAGATTCTATCAGAAGAGTAGTTAGCAGCATTGCAAATAATGGTGTCAATTTTATCTGTAAATATTACTTTCAGGAAGCAGGCACATACGTTTATTACACTATTGTGAGGATGACTGGCTTCCATTGTCTTACATGGCATTTCCTGCCATTTCTAAATTGAAAAGAAGAGGCATCATGCTGACTTCTTAGGGCCACTAGATCAAATTGCCCAAAAGGTTTGTGAAAGAAAAGGGGAAGGCCGTCTTCAGATGATTCCACTGCCATATCCTTCTGCTTTTATAATGTTCTTCCCTTCCTCTATGAGAGACATGACAGTGGGTCCTGTATTTCAGACTCGGAGGATATCTGGTTCACTTCTCCTGGTGATGCTCACTGCAGGAACTAGCTGGCCGAGAGGAGGGTGGAAGCATAGGAAAAGGACCGGCTTGGGAGTCCAGATACTAGGAGGGGAGTGTAATCCTGTCTCTTTCAGAGCAGCTTGTGTCACTCACTAGCCACTTAACTCCGGGAGGGCTTGATGTTTCTCCTATAAATTAAAGAATCAGGCTAGTTAAATTGTACGAGCCTTAAGGTTCTTCTGTCTTGAAAGCGGAGCCTTCGTGTGTGCAGCTGTGTGCAGCTGTGGGCCCTGTAATTGCCTTTCTCACCTCTCTTCCAGAGCTCACCTGCTTTATCAACAGTGTGAACGGGCTCTCGTGGACGTTCTTCCCACAGCAGTGGGTGGGCTAAAGTTATTAAAGGTGCCACTAGCCAACTGCCTCCTGCTCTGGTTCCTAAATCCATTCCTGGTGGGACCGTAGGTACTTTGCCAAGCCTTTAACTCTTTTGCAACAGGAGCTGGAGGAGAACTTAGATGCCCGAGTGATGGAGAACAAGGGCCATTGACTCGCAGTTAGAAGCGACCTGTGTTCTGGTTCAAGAGGTGCTGCCAAATCCTTGGTCCTTAAATTTTTGTCCTTGGTTTCGCCGCATCTCATCTCAGGTCTCTGTTGCTCTGCCACTATTGAATGAGTTAAATAGCGAGCGAGCCAGCTGCCCCCCTCGGTGTCCCTTCCATCTGTCATCTAGGGGACTGTTGTGACGGCACCCGGGGTGGGCTGTGCAAAATCTAACCGGTAAACATGAAGAGCTTTCTGCTTTCCTGCCACTTCAAACGTGTTAACCCTAAGAGGCATTTTTCCTCCATATATTTTCTAAATGCATAAAGTGGGTGACAGAGAGTTGACATGATTTAAATGTTAGTCTGTCTGACCCTGAGGGCCCCTCAGCTCCCATCACTGCTTCCCGGGGGCCTATTTCATGGGGGCCAACATGGCGTCTAGAAAGGACAAGAGCTTTGGAAACTGGCAGAGTTGGACTCACAGCCCTGCTACCGACCAGGGGGTTTCAGAGAGGGACATCACCTCCAGCATCCTTGGTTCCCGTGTCCGTATCTCAAAGTTGACAACACTGGCTGAATGCTGATGCTTGGAGGTCAGAGTAAAGTTACCCACCAAAAATACAGTTTTGGAAACCTAGCAGACATTCAATAGTAGAAGCTGTTACTATTTTCATGTTTCCGTATTCATTTTATATACGATCGTATGCGTCCTAACGGTCTGTGTATATGTGTGTGAGTGCAGTTGTTATGTGTGATGCAGTGTGGGGGGTGGCATGGTCGTCATTAGTAGTTTAAAAACTCTCCAGGATGTGAGATTTATAGTCAGGTAATACTCTTCAAAAGTGGAACTCTTAATTTTATACTCATTTTGTGGCTTTGCAAGTTAGTATCCTGAGGGAAGGTGGCTTTCTTGAGTAATAATCTGTTGCATTCAACTAATCTCATATATGCCCTACGACTTAGACTCCTTACTTCCAAACTACAGTAGAGGGGCAGCCCCTGTGGCTCAAAGAAGTAGGGCACCAGCCCCATGTACTGGAGTGGCAGGTTCAAACCCAGCCCCAGCCAAAAACTATTAAAAAAAAAAAAAAGCTCCAAACTACAGTAGAATCCCCATAGCTGACCACCTCCTTAAGTTGACCTAATTTTTATAGACTGGACACTGCATTGACCACCTCCTTAAGTTGACCTAATTTTTA